CAAATGACCTGGTTTGAAACTCCACAGAACATATTTTGATGCTGACAACAATGTTTGTGCTGGATTTCGAGGTTGGTGTGAAGCAGCTGTCATCAACATAGGTATGCAGAAACTAAAACAAATGGCAAGCAATGTATAGAGCACAGAATAGATGACTTGCATACTGGTAATTATTACCATTTTCAGCTGCAAGAAACCAGCATTGCTGGGTTTCAGGTGCAAGAGGTGGCACAGGTGGAGATAGAGTTTTAGGGTATTGCAGTTGCCATTGTTAGAAATTGCTGGGCACAAGATGCTCATAAACAGATGGCCACCATCAGTCAGTCAGAAAGCATCTTACTCTTTTGGTACATATTAAGGTATAAAATTGCTTTTGGAGTTCATTTTCATGACACTTCCAATATGAGAATTACACAGTGGATATATACAGAACATTCAAACATTACGAGTGTCATGGCAAACGAGTAAGTAGAAAAAGTATCACGCCGCAGAGATAGAGGCTAGGTGTAAAAGTAAAGATTTGCAGAGCTGAAAGCAGTGTGGCGAGGCGGGGCGACGGACATCGGGAGAAGATGGCACATTGCAAGATGATGGGACGTCACGAAATTGACCGATATGTAGAGCTCGGATAATGCTAGATCAAGAAGAGCTGAGGCTCTGGGACCCTTTGGAAAGGCGAGAAGGCAAATACAAAATCAACCCTTGCTCACGTTTATTGGGACTGAGGAGGGCGATAGTATGATGGCGCAGAGGTATTGATATAACGATAAACAATGCTGATGTTTGGCCGTCCATGTGACTGTGCCTGGGAATTTACCTAGGCTTAAGGTCTTCCGTTCGTGACGACTAGTATCCGAAAAGGTTTCCACGAGTTTGCAAGTGATAGATGCAACTTTGGACTAATTTCGTAGAAGTGGCATCAGGTTCACCACAAAATGCTCTCGTGACTTATTAATCTCTGACTTCTAGTGGCTTCAAGAATGTCTACCTATTGGCAATCTGTCCGCAGCACAAACGGCCCGAAAATATTCGTGTCTCGTGCTGCACATTCGGACCTCGCAATGCCATGTGACGATGCTGCAACGTGGTAGTCGGAACGCACAACAGTTTTTGAATGCTTCTCATGATCCCCATTCCAACAAACATTCTTGGTATGATCAAATTTCCTTTTTTTTCGCGCTCATCTTTCGCTGCAATTCATAAGGAAGCTTGGTCGCCAGCATCAGAAATCAGAGTTGTCAACAGTGTCTTGACATACGAATCTTCGGGACCAGGAAAGAGCAAATAGCCGTCATGGCGAATGTTCTTGCTAGACACGAGTGGCACCATGATATGTAACATCTACCATTTTTGGTCTGTAGGAGGAAATTGATGGTACGCACTTCGGGTAAAACTACGGCAATGTGTGTTAAACAACGCCGATAGCTGCCGTCATCACATACCACGAGGTCTCCAAGTACATCGGGGCCTGTCAGCAGCTAGTAGTCCGCAACAAACCATTCATCACTAGCTCAAGGAGTTCTTTTTGGATATTTATCCCCATGATGACTTCCTGAAATGTACGGTCTCAAGGATTTCACTAAAGCACCCGATTGCTTTCTTGTCTTCTTCTCAAGTCATACCCCGAGTTGGTCTTCCAAGAGATCTGTCACGGCTGCAATGTGCGTGATATAAACAGGGTTTTGAATTGTCCTCCGCAATCTCAGCGTCTTCACATGTTTCAATCTCTAGCTTTATTAGCGCTTGTATCGTCTACTCTAGCTTCACCCCTAGAGCTACGCCAGTCGTGCGCGGATGTGACTGTCTTGTTTGCCCGAGGAACAGGGGAGTCCGGTACCATCGGCACCATTGTTGGCCCACCTTTCGAGGCTGCTCTTCGAAGCGCCCTCGCTGGCAGATCTCTCAATTTCGAAGGCATCCCCTATGCAGCTAGCATTGCCGGTTTTCTCGAAGGAGGTGACCCCGCAGGCGCAGCTACAATGGCCAATGATATCACAGCCACGGCCAACGCATGCCCTGATACTAAGATTGTTATATCTGGTTACAGGTAACTCCGCTTCGGGTTTCATCCTTATAGCTACTTACCACCAGACTCTTTCTACAAGCCAAGGTGCACAAGTCACCCACCTAGCCGCTGCTCAACTCTCTAGCGCTGTTCAAAACCGTGTCAATGCTGCTGTTGTCTTTGGCGATCCTGACAACGGACAACCATTTCCAGGGCCAATTCAAGCACATGAACTGACGTTCTGCGCAGCTGGCGATAATATATGTGCAGGTGGGATTCTTATTCTCCCTCCTCATCTTAGTTATGGCGCAGTGAGTACCCTTTGCTAATCGAGCTGCCGCCTCAATGAATGAGCTTTGTTGTATAGGACGCTGGGCAAGCTGCCAGCTTTGTGGTATCACAAATCTAGATATAATATTCCAACAGCACGACTACACTACTAGTCGGAATGCCAGATTAACACTCACTCTTCATTCATATCAAACATTTTTACACAACAGTCAAGAGGACCCGAAAGATCAATGTAAATAAGCTTGAATGCGGCGATCAGGCTGGTACAAAACCACAGCATCAGGAGCACGCTTTTCATCACTTTAGGATCCCCGTCGTCTGCAATCATCTGATTTTTGAAGCTGATTTGAACAGTATACACGGATTTGAAAATATCGACTTCATGCCCAAGTGTGAAGAATTCGCTGAGTAAGAGGGCGTTCGGAGTCGATGTCGGGATTGAGGAATGAACAGAAAGTCGGAGTACACCCAATGTCGGACGCAAGGGTGCCATCCTGTGGGTTACTTCGAAGACGACATGTTCTGATAAGCTCTAGCTAACCAACAAGAACCACTGGACGGAGAAGGCCCGAAGATCACTGGTTTCAACTTAGGGATGCACACCGTCCGTTTACTGCACACGACCGTGAAGTCACGATGAAAGAAAAAAACACTACTTTGATGGCATGGCACGGCAAGTTTACGGCTGTCAGGGTTTGGTGTAGTTGATTCAGTGAAGGGCTGAAGAAAGTCAGACAGAACTCCTCAGTTCATCGGATTACGGCTATTTTAGGAACTTAGGGCGCGTGTTCACCTGAAAAGATTCTTTCTGGCTGACCGATGTGAAACAGCGCAGATTGAACGTGCTGTTCTTTGTTTGTATCTGAAAGCCTTGAAGTGATAGTGAGGGTGTAAGCCATAGTACACAATGCGTTGAGCCATCCGAACGATGGTGTAAGGTGGTCATATATTTGATACATATCCAAAAATTGCGTGTCCAACAGATAATCTAAAGGAAAAACGACTGACAAAGGAACTTTTGAATTTCAAACAGCGTACATCGAACATACTGTTCCTCTTTGTCTCCAGCTTGGAGCAGTTTTTCAGTGCGGTTCTGCCACCCGAAATGTGTACTTAGTATATCGAATCTACCAAAAGAGAAGCAACTCACAGGTACAATTGAGCTCTTGCACAGGTCGAAGACGCGAGGACTCGAGCATATAGGTAGGAGCCCGTGGGGCGTTGGTACATATATCTATATATATATATATATACAAGTTCTGTTTGGCGAGAGTTGAGATGTGACGAGCAGGATGAGTTTGATATAATTGGAGTAAGAATGGTGAAGACAAAAAGTAGTGATCCGTATCCGTATGAGTCTAAATCACGATTTTAATGCGAGATGTCCCCTTTCGTAGCATCCGGATTCACGAGATCTACTCGAGAATGAGGTGCTCTACTGCGCCGTATGTGACCTTGTAGGTGAGATGCATCATCACGCAGGTTCCTATATCAATCAAAAAAGGATCATTCACAATTAGGAAGAGTCAAACACGGCAACTCTCTGCTACATATTTCGGTCCTGGGCGCAAGGGAGATGTGGTGAGGTTGAGCCATCGGAACGTTTGTGCAGAGGGCAAGAAAAGAAGAAGATAGACATACTGGATGCGCAATTCAACTTGCAAAAGATGATATGGGGTGATGAAGGGTGCGGAAGCCTGCTGTAGTCCGGTCAGCGCACAGCGCTCATGCTTCAGGACAGAGGGAACTGCAGATCGACGGGTTTGAGATACCAACACTCTGCTTTCTCCATTAATTATCGCGAGGGTGGTGCTATGAGCTGGGAAAGATGCGCTGTCCATGCTACCAAGGATATTTGCGCGGCGGAGTGATAAAGTAGCTTGCGGCCGGCATGAAGAGAGACAGTAGAAGAAGTCCACGGTGCGTCGTGGGGCGAGATCGCCCCACGATAGCTCGGACTGTTACATAAATTAATTGTCACACCTCTCCCGTCAATGACCCTATAAGGCGCTATCGTCGTCTCTCGTGCATCTCATTTGCAGACGCAGCCAGTCGTCCGTCGACAAATACTGGCGAGTATCCCACGCCTTGCGTCTTATAAGGACATTGTACATTGCGTCTGGTGCGCCGTCTGTATACCCGACTCAGACATCGAGAAGAAGAAGAGGTTAGGTTATTTACCTTTTTCTCCGCAGTGATGTGCATGTCATTGACGGACGACCTATGCCCCTCTCAATGCACATTTCCCCTTGCCAACCGACCACCATGCCTGCCTTGTCCCCCGACAACATACTGCGCACTCCCCGCCCCTTCATCCATGCCTGCATCTATGCACACATTAACTGCCGGCTCCCCGAAACCAAAAGACAGGGAGCTGAGTATACGTTTAAGTTTGGGGATGATGAAGAAGAGGGCAAGCCTGATGGCGATTTCGTACCCTGTTCAGTCGACTTTGGATTATCCTGGGGGTCAGGCGTCCATGAGTCCGGCGGACGCGGGGATGGTGGGTGTTGAGAGGATTTTATGCTGTAGGAGGACATGAGAATGTCGATTGTGAAGCTGCGTAAGTAAGGGCGAATGAACGCGTGTGCTTTGCTCTGCGAGTTTGGCTTCGTTTCATTTCACCTATCATGATTCGGGCTTGGACGACTTGGATGTACGTAAGCTGCTGAGGGTAAAAAAACAGATACTGGATTTGAACAATTGCATTAAGGGGAAATCGAACCCCCGGCGGGTCGAACCACACAGTCTGCTGTTGGCAACGACCCAGGTTACCACTACCCCATTAATGCATGCTAACGCTGCACATGTCTTCTATTCTGCTGTCCGTCTCAGCATTACGGTTAATCCTAATTTTCTCATAAAGACGGCATTCGGTCAATGACTATTCTCTACATCCTCTATAATTCTGGTCGGGCTATGTGCTGTTACATAGATCTGTCACTGGACACCGGTTCATCTAAATATTTGTCAACTATGAAGGACGTCTTCCAATCGTGAACCTAACGTCCCATATCAATGCCATCTCCAAACTATTCATCCATGCGGGAAGGGACCTGTTCTTCGCCACACGATAGTTTAACCGCGTCTATTGTGCCCTTCACAGCTTCGTCATCTCTAAATTCTAAAACCTTCTTCAATGAACCTTGTGCACGTTGATGGACATATTAGATCCATTTCATCTGAGGATGCGGTAATTACACAGATAGCGTCGGCACCCAAAATGTTTTCTTCCTTACTTCCGCACATTTTTTGATCAATGACATTCCTTGTTCTTCGTCAAAGAGCTCTGTCCCGTGTTCAATGCTGTCTACACCAAACTCGAGGAGATGTTCAATCATGTCAGCGGGTATGAGCATGCACAGCGACTTTGACGCCTAGACTGCGAGCACAGTCTATCATCCTTTTAAACTCGGCTCTTGTAAATAGAGGAGGATTCATCCCGCCTACGTCTGATGACACGTCTGAAACCATCTTATCATATAAAGGTTTGATCCAGCCTGCGCCAGCACCAATTTGTCTTCAAACAGCTTCGATGGACTCCTCGACTCAATCTGCCACTTTGGCACCAGTTATCCCCTCGATCCCACTTTGTGATGCGAAAAGTTTTTGGACCTATGGAGCCAGTGGTCAGGACCAACCCAAATTTAAGCAATATACATTTAATTTGTGATCTTGCCGACACTTCCAGTAGAGGAAATTGCACGAGTTCAGCAATATTACCTTGTTCCTTCCTTCCGGATAGCAAGACACTTCCGTAGTGCGATATCAGCATCTTCCACGTCCTCGTTTCCAAGATCACTTGATCAAAAATGGATGAAGAATCCCTCTGTGAAGATTACCATCCTACCGAACAGTCATGTAACCTATCATCAGAGTCATCAGAGTCTTTCGAGCACGGAAATCCGTTCGTCATGTGCCCTCAGGTAGACTCTCTTTGGTCACCTGGTCATTCCACGACAGGAAGACAGGCATCAAGTTAAAGTGTCCGCGCAGATGAGCAATCTGAACACTTTACACGTTTTTCTGCTGATGACGAAGGCCTAGAGATATGATAGTGATGGGAATCAAAAGATGGTACCGAATCTTTTGGAACTGGTGGTGTGGAAACCATCTTGCTTAGGGAAAAGGATGTTGAGGGTTGGACGAGGTTCGTTTGCTCAACTGACTTAACGCAATCGGCAATTGCCTGTTGATCCCGGGCCGCTGAGAATGGCGAATGATTCTGGTGTGACGATCGAGCCAGCTTTCATAAGCACCACGACTGCCAATAAAGGGGCTTCAAGTTTCGCATGAGCACCACCTAGTACCTAAACATGACATCGTCATGACATCTCCTGTATATGTTTCGGCCTTATCCTTTGTCTGCCATCGTTTTCCGTGACTGATATTTGACGTTGCTGCCACCGCATTGTTGCACCTATACACGCACAGGGAAGGGTGACAGACTTAATTAGGACCGAAGGGTCAGATTGCTTCTGTTGCTCAGACACCTGGAGGTTCGCGGGTTCAGAATGAAGGACCGCGAACTCAGGACCGAAAAACTGTCTACGCGGTCACGTGGTCGTAGAGGGAACTTGTTTGAGATGGGACTCCTGTCATAAGTTCATAAGTTCAACACGCATTCCCATCTCTTTTCTCTCGACGTGAAAGAACGATTGAAGATGAGATAACGACGGCTCAGTGCAAGTGCAGTAATTATGAAAGCTCACCATCCTGAATGTCAACGTTGTAAGAGCTGTCGTTAGCGTTAATATAAGACATGCGGCAGGAATAACACAGAGCCTCGTTTGCGACCGATCTTGGTTGCGTGAATCTGAATTAAGGTATGAGTTCTGCAGTCAGCTTAGAGGTGGATTTGTGGGATCTCGACATTACGGATGAGAGCGAGGCCGGAAGAGTGGATTAGACAGAGAATGCACCGGATGATGGCATGCGCCTCAAAGAGCGGACAATGGCTCTATGTAGCATAGGGGGAGTTCGGACGTCTGCCTTTGTCTTGGTGGGAAGGTTGAGCACAGGTTCTCTCGTGTTGAAAAGAGACGTACAGAGTTCATAAATGAATAGACGTGGAGCTCCATTCCTTTCATTCGCCGGCCCAACCAGAGTATGGTACACCTATTAGTGCTTCTTTGAATACCTCGGAAGTTCTTCCGTGTTCATCTTTTCAAGTTGTAGCTGACTCAGGGGCACAGTGCAACGCTTTGTCCTGTTGCTTCACGACATTTCAAAGAAACGAGGCATCATAAATGAGCCACCAGCGTTCATGCCGGTCGTTGTGATAATGCTACAATAGAATATAATGATGTGCACCATTATCATCAACGTTGTATATCTTATTGAACAATATCGTACTTTCAAGCTGGACCGTAAACAATTAGTGCAGACAATAGGACCGCCCGATTCAATCGAAAAAAGTGATACGAGAGTATGAAAAGATTTTTGTCCGAGTTATCCGCGTGCAGGAATGTTTTGTGGCTGGTATCCATCAATTTCAGGAAAGGGTACACAAGGCCTCGTGCTGTGCATGAGTCAGACTTGTGTGGCTCAAAATCTTACATAACATCCAGTGGCATACTTATAAAAACTGAGCAGAGTCCGCACAAGTACTATAACATTTCTCATCTCGAATCTACTATCACAGAACACCAGCTTCCTTCGAATAGAACTCTCGATCACTCAGTCACATTTGGAGAATAGCTTTCCGCTATGGCGAATCGATACCCTCACACGCCACACTCATATCAGTACACCTCCCCGCCACAATCACGTCAATCTCGTCATGGAGAGATTGTCCAGAGAGACATTCATCAGGATCCAAGGTATACAACGCTAGTAGTAGCTCAAGGAAGACAGCATACAGCCGTATCCATACCGAGGTGGGTGATATCAATAGCTTTGGCCATGTTGAACACTGACATTGATGGCAAACCTTCAAAGACCTCAGGCTGCCGCACAACAGCCCACCAACGTAACGAATATCTTTGTTGTCAATGTCCAGAGACCAAAGGAGAGCCGTAGATCTACCTCCCGAACTCATGCTGATTCAAGGAGGGACCGACACCGCAATGAACCGAGCCACTCGAGTTTAATATCCCCTTCGATTGTTGCCCCTCCTGACTCAAGGAGAGACCAATACCTTGCATCACCACCTCCTCCAAGTTCAGGATATCCTTCAACTGTTGCCGCTTCTGACTCAAGGAGAGACCGATACCTTTTGCCACCACAACCTCGAAGTTCAAGATCGCATCATAGAGAAGACTCAGAGCATGTTTATGGTAGGCATGCCTCAAGCAGCTACGGAGATTACTCTGAAGATGAGCGCGCCGGGAGTATGCGATCTGAATCCTCGAAATCGAGTCCGTCTGGATCCAGGAGGCGCGGAGATGGAGCTAAAGCAAAGCGCAAAGAAAGGAAGGAACACAAATCCCTATTCAAACGCTTATTCGGACCGTAGTCAGCGCATCATATATAGGGTCGTAAGCATTGAGTAAAGCTAAACAAATTATACCACTTGGATCCCAACGTACCTAGTAAGAATGAAATAAGACTCTTTTAAATAAATGAACCGGTGCAAATATTAAAGTCAATAATGGGCGGCTTGAGTTACCAATATCGGGACTATATCAAGAAAGGGAAGAGAATGGCATAGCGTGGTCAAAGTTCGGTTCAGTTCATAAACTGGTACCCTTTGAGAGAACCGGGAACTGGACTGATACCCTATAGGCAGAACCAGAATGAGAACTGTGAAGAGAACTGCAATAACCGAACCTTCAGTTCAGTTCAGTCCACAGAACCAGTTCAAACCTTGAACTGATGTCAGAAGAAATCGAAAAAGCTATACAAGGAGTAGGAGCCAGGTTACTACATATCTACGACAATATATATCCATCCACATTTGTTACCCAGATTCTCTGGTATGGTCAGCTGACTTAGTGATCACGTGTTTACGTACTTACATACGCGCTGGTGTCAACTCCAACCTCAGTTGTTCTCTCCCATTTGGGTAGACTCTGAGGTTGTGAGTAACGTCTGTTTATCTCTCTGGTTTTTCCGTACCTGACCTGTAGCACTATAGGCTGTCTTTGCTACCACATAGGTACAAATACAATAGTTGTTCTCTCCCATTTGGGTAGACTCTGAGGTTGCTGTCTTTGCTACCACATAGTGCTCAGATCTGGGTCGGCAACATTCAATATCAATCTGTACATGTCAGCTCTGCATTTCCTGCTGTAATCATACCATAATCGTGATACCCCATTTTCAGGTTTTGCAAGGTTTAGAGAGTCTGGTGCCAGTCATGGAAACACTAGAGAAGGTGCAGTCAGATGCCGCTAATGACATTACGAGCCTTAAATCCAGTAGTCATGAGTCATTTGTGCAAGTGTGGGTTGTATGTAGTTATGGTCACTGTATTACCTCTACTTCTTGCTGTGCCATGTTAATACTTACATGATGCATGTCTAGCATACAGATCAAACTTCCAAACAAATAATGATTACAATTTAATCCACTCTGTGAAACATCTTTGAAATCTACCACTTTCTTAGATAACAAAAGACCCTTTTTGTATTCTGATACATATATAGTTTGTGAGCTGGTATCTGGCATCCTTCCAAGTTTGAAAAACGAATGTAGCCTGGAGCCACGAGCACCTGAAGAGCTTGGGCCTCGTGATTAGTGAGTAATTGTTGCTGGGCCGCTTGACTGGAGATGATCTCCTGTAGAATGACACACCGCTTACCGTCGGAGCCATTGGGATGAAGATGAGATAACGGTAAGCACCGGGCTG